TTTGGCAAATGGATGTCAAGACCGCTTTCCTTAACGGAAAGTTGGCTGAGGATGTTTACATGGCTCAGCCAGAGGGGTTTGTGGATCCGAAGCATCCGAATAGAGTGTGTAAGCTTGAGAAGTCCATTTATGGACTTAAGCAAGCGTCTCGCAGATGGAATCTTTGCTTCGATGAGAAAGTCAAAGAGTTTGGATTTGTACGAAGCGAAGACGAATCTTGTGTATATGTCAAAGCCAGTGGGAGTATAGTAAGCTTCCTCGTTCTATATGTCGATGACATATTACTCATAGGAAACGACATCCCGACTCTGCAGGAGGTTAAGTCCTGGCTCGGGAAGTGCTTCGCTATGAAGGACCTCGGAGAGGCTTCTTACATTTTGGGAATAAGGATAGTAAGAGAAAGAAGTAAGAGACTAATTGGACTTAGTCAGAATACTTACTTGGAGAAGGTACTAAAACGTTTTAGTATGGAAAACTCAAAGAAGGGAGAATTACCGATACAAGGAAATGCCAAGTTGAGTAAGACTCAAAGTCCGAGTACCGAAGCTGAGATAGCAGAAATGAGCCGAGTACCATACGCTTCCGCAGTTGGCTCAATCATGTACGCTATGACTTGTACTCGCCCTGATGTAGCCTTCGCTTTGAGCATGGTTAGCAGATATCAAGGGAACCCTGGCAAAGCACATTGGATTGCGGTGAAGAACATCCTTAAGTACCTTCGGAGGACGAAAGAATGGTTCTTAGTCCTTGGAGGGAGTGATGACTTGAAGGTGCGAGGGTATAGTGACGCCAGCTTTCAGACCGACAGGGACAACTACCGTTCGCAGTCGGGCTGGGTCTTTACCCTAAATGGGGGAGCAGTGACATGGAAAAGTTCCAAGCAAGAAACCGTAGCTGATTCAACGTGCGAATCAGAGTACATTGCAGCGAGCGAAGCGTCGAAGGAGGCAATATGGCTAAAGAACTTCATCGGTGATCTTGGAGTTGTGTCGGCCATAAAGGAGCCCATGGAGATTTTTTGTGATAACGAAGGTGCGGTTGCCTTGACCAAGGAACCGAGGGATCATGGTAGATCTCGACATATCGACAGAAAATATCACTTCATTAGACATCGTGTAGAAGAAGGACAACTCGTAGTGAAGAGGATATCATCAGAAGATAACCCAGCAGATCCGCTTACAAAGGGACTGAGTAGGGTTAAGCACTTGCAGCATGCTAGGAGTATTGGGCTGAAGGATGATATTAGTATAGATTAGATAGTATTAGAAACGTATAATAGATAAATGTAATTAACATTTGATGATTAAATAAAGGAGTTTTATTTATGAGTAAAGTTACTGTCACATGTTAATTGTTTAACTATTGTTTCACTTTGCATGTTTTGACTTCCAGAATAATTGAGTTTATTAAGAATAATCGAATTATTCAAATGGTCCACAATCGTTCATATGTTGGGAGTAGATATGAATGAAGATTGTCATGAATTGGTGTGTAGAATGTCTAAATGGTGTTAGACATAGCAAGGGTTGCTGCAACGTTCATGAGTGCTTATGAACTGGTTTTGAGCATTGGAATAAACCCGCGCTTGCTGGAATCACCTTATGGAATATGATATAAAAGGTGATCGCAAGACGATAATATCATATAGTCTTAAAACCTAGATATATGGTTTATTATTTGTTAATTGATAGTGCATTGATAATGCGAAAACGCATCAGTAACTTGATGTTATAAAACGCATTGTTGTGTATAGTTGGTTAATGAATAAGTAAATGCATATAAGTCGAAGTTTATCTGTAAATTTTATCCTAAGAGGGTAGAAGAGATATCTTGGCCACTCGATGATTTGATTTGACTTATGTGCCGGGCCCGGTCAGAACTGAATTGATGTGTTCGATTAAGTTCTATGTCGAATAAATCGGAGATCGAGAAATCTAAATGCTAGACTAACCATTCCATAGGATTGTCAGCATGATATCTAACAGAGGACTGTACGATCCCTTATCTAAAGGACAAGATTGATTAGATCAGAGTTGACAGCGTCTTTGAGAGCTACGATTGCAAATCGAATTGTACTTGTATAGTTACTAGATTTATCCAAGTGGGAGACTGTTGGAATAGTGTCTAAGGCTGTAACTATATTCGGTTGTGCATGGTCCTTTTGGGTTGCCTTCATCATAGCAACTTGAAGGATGATTTGTTAAGAGAGAGTTAAATATTATAAGGAATAATATATGGCTATTTGATTAGTATAAGTCATAAATTAATTGGTATTACTTTGGTGACTTAAAGAGATTAATTAAATAAGAGGGTATAAACTGTCAATTGTTTGATAGTTAGACTTTAGACTGTAAATCCATTTGGATATACTTTGGACGGATTCTAAGAGCTTTAGGATAGCTAAAATCGTCCATAAGGTTATCTATGGAATGGATTTGGATAGCCTTAAAAGAAGATTATCCAATTAGGGTTTAGGTTGAAACCCTTAAGGAGTCTACAAGTATAAATAGACCCTAGGGGTGAGGGAATTCGACACACAACCTAAAGCAAGGAACCTCTGGCCGAATTCCTCCCCTCTCTTCTCTCCTAAATCATCTTGCTTGCTATTGGTGTTTGTAAGCCATTAGAGGAGTGACATTTGTGACTCTAGAAGCTCCAAGACAACAAGATCAACAAGGAACTCAAAGGTATGATTCTAGATCTGTTTCAATGTTGTTATTTAACCTAATTAGCCATTAGAAGTCTTGGATTCAAAGCATGTTTAATTAGAAAGCCTAGATCCAAGCTTTAGGGTTTTGCATGCGCACATAGGAAAGTTCTTATGGCTAAAACCCATCAGTTATATAATAAAGGCTATATTTTTCAGCATTTGTATTTCTCTTTACCAAGATGTATATGAGTTATCAATCTTCATGCTCTTTACCAGAATCTATAAATGTGGCAGAGTAAGTCCATCCAGATTGATAGGCTTTAAAGCTGTCTTTGCATAAGAACTGTCACTTCTACTAGTTTTAGGAGCACATGTTGGATATAAAGAACTAATAATTAAGCTTCACTAAGGTAAAATAGAAAAGATAAAAAGAGTTGGAGATCTGCCTTCAATATTCCTATCTAAACTGGCAGTCATTTTGAAAAATTGATATGCTATAATTACTTGTCTGCAACGTACACAATGAAACACATAAGAATCGAGACATAAATTGTATTTCTAGTGGCAAATAAGCACTATTACTTTTGAAGCTATACATGCATTACAAAAAGCAAAAAGACTTGACATAGTAGATGTAAAAATTCCAGTTTACCCATGAAGTTCATACATGTGATGTAGTTGAAGCCAACAAAGATGAGATTCATGAAAACCTGCTCAAATAAACATTTTAATATTAAGATATTTCTTACTATAGAAAATGGTGAAAATTGATGGAAATAAAGAGAACTCTATATGGAAAAAAACACACAGATCTAGATGCAACGTGAAGATTTGTGATCAGGGACATTTCCAATCACCCAATACCTCAACTTCTAAATTACGAGGATTCTGTCACGACCTAATCACAAAATTTATGAACATAAACATAAGAGGAAGATAAACAATTATATGGGTTTAAAATCATACAACTTGTTTGTATCTAGTGAATGTGGTGTCTAGTATAATAGTGTCAACTATTGGAACCCACGAGAACAATGTGCTAATTTTAGAACTTAGTGATATAGATTGGCATTATCCAGATTATGAAGGCGAATGAGGGGAGAAACAATTGGATTCAACATAAATCGATCAAGGATTAAAGGGGGACGGGTGTTTTTTAAAATGACTGGGAGGATGATAGGATACAATGAGACTGAGAAAGAAAGGCTACGTAGATGCTAAATGGAATTGAATCTATAATTCGAGATGGGAATAAATAACAACAACAATTTGTAGATTTTGCATCTTCGATTGCATATGGGAAAGTCAAATACAAAAATCTGAACCTGGAAAATCTACCCATGTTGATCAAGCCCTAATCACAAAAATAAGAACAAATTAGAGATACATAAGAAATGGAGAAATTAACACATTATTATAGGAGAGAGAGAGAGAGAGAGAGAGAGAGACCGCTCAAGAACAATTAAAATCGTTGATATCCTTTTTTGGAAGGAGTTATCAGGGTGACCTTCAATTCACGTTGTAAGCTACAAACTAAATACCACCAAATGTTAACTAATAAGTGTAAATAGGATGAAAATGTTGACGTAAAGCAGATATCAGAGCAAGCAACCCAAACGATAAACTCTTAAATACTCTAGCAGCAAGATTTTGAGGATTTACAGATAGTGGATGGTGGTGACGATGGGTACGGCGAACCCTAGGACATCAGTGATGGTGGCTGATGTTTGGATGATGGGTGATGTCGTGAAGGTCTCGATTGGTTATAATGGCAACGACGATCGAGTTTGGGTAGGGTTTATGGATCTCGGGTTAAACGATTCAATTGGGTGAAGATGAAGAGCAGGTCAATATATGCAGAATTTAAGATATTTGGTGAAGTGTATTTGGATGAGAAGGCTTTCAGATTTTGAATGAACCCTGAATTAAGGAAAGAAGATCAGATTTATAAGGATTAAAAAAACATGGTTAAAATTTAATATTATTTTATTAATGATCACTTGTACCAGTAGCTTAATGGTTTGGACGTCTTCAAAAAATAATATTTTTATATTCGATGTATTTTTAGAAATAGTTAGATTTCTTTTATAAGATAGTAAATATATATATATATATATATATATATATATATATATATATATATATATATATATATATATATATATATATATATATAAAACAGTAAACACCAATTTAGTCTATTAATTTATGATGCATGTTACAAAGAAATTTTAACGTATTATCGCAATCCGATATAAGTTACAAATTAAGCCTATTAAATGTTATCAAAGTTCTCACAATTATAAATATATATCAATTCCCATGTATATTGATGCATGGATCATTTGTGTTACATTAAACAGGAACTAGAGGTTGTATGGTGGATTACTGCGGCAGCGCCACCACCGGTGGTTCCAAGAGCATTGGTGCATGAAACTTGAGCAGGTCGGTTATCATAACTCAAATTCACATCCTCTATTTTTATCCCACTGCATGGATGCTCCTTGCTGCAATCCAGTTTCACCCCAACATCTGTCGCTGATGTGCCACGAATATCTTCGTATAGAACATCAGAAATGGTGACGCCGGACAACTGATGTGGACAATCATGCACACCCGGACAATAATTCTGATCGATTATCACCGGATTTTGAACTTGCACCATAGTTAAATCTTCAAACACAACTCCCTTTACGAACCCATTACTTTCCCTAGCCCATGTCTTGATCCTAACCCCATTCTGCGTTGACTTAAATGTCGCCGTCTTCAACGTGACGTTTTGGACTCCGGCCTCCTGTGCAGTCCACCCTAAACTGCCGATGCTGACACCATGGCCAGGGCCACAGGTGATGCTTTGTATCCAGAGGTTAGATGAACCTGGTCCGATGGATACACAATCGTCTCCGGTGGCAATTCGGGAGTTGAGAACAGTGACACCGGTGGAGAATTCAATGTGTATGCCGTCGGTGTTGGGACTGTTTCCCGGAGCAGAGATCGTGATTCCTTGAAGTTTAACGTTTTGGCATCCGTCCATCACGATGTGGAACTTTTGACTGTTTATGGAGCTCAATCCACTGATCACGATGTCTCTTGAATTATAGAACCCTAACGTCTGCAATATGCACCCATTGATTAATGAATATTTAGTAGAAAGTCGAAACATAAACTAATAAATTCGGAAATGCATGAAACTTACGGCTGCACCGGTTGGACAAGAACTTGAAGAGGCTTTGCAAGCCCACAGACCGGTTCCACGACCATCTAAAGTTCCACCGGAGATAGAAACTCCGGTGGCCTTTTCAAACTTAATCCAGACATCACTAGAGGATTTCCCGTAGTCTGTCGGAGCAAGAAGGGTGCCATCAATACGGAAGTTGATTGCTTTGTTACTACAGCGTTCGCCCTGGAAATAAGCTGATCTGATGAAAACCTGCCGGAGGGGACGTAGATAGTGACTGGTTTAGATGATGAACATGCAGAAGCCCATGCAGATTGAAATGGTAGGGTTGAGTCTGTTTTTCCGTCGGCTATGGCTCCCAAATTCACGATGTTTATGAGTCCTGCTGGAACTGTTGTTGCTGCGGTTGTTGAACTCATGATCATAGAAGCAGCAGCTACAATAATGGCGGAAGTGATGATGATGCTGTAATCAACCCTCATCGCCATTATCATAAAATTCTCGGTAAGAATGGAAATGGAGCATGGATCGGAAATGTTTCGAGTAGAATTTATAGGAGAATTTTGAATAGAATAAGGTAGTTGAAATAAATAATTTTTTATACAAAATCATCTACAAAAATAGGGCATTTTCTGTTTTTCTTTGCAAAAATACGGTGGTGGGCCACGTCACAAACAAAACCATTAGTTTATTTACATTTATAACCTTTTAAAATTTCATTTTGAAACATTGTACCGTATATATAATATTTCAATTTTCAATTCTTGTTATATATTGCAATGAGTCCATGATTCACAACTCATATGTGTTGAATGTAAATGAGTCGAAAATGTTTGATTATAGTGGAATCTAAATTTGTTTTCATAATAATCTTGAATGATAATAGTTATTCAACTTTGATTCAAATATTTAAATGAAGTATTAGTATATAAAATTACACTATCATAAAACTTGTGTTCTTTTTAAAAAGTTTTATAAGATGGTAAAGAAGTTATCTTTTAAAATATTTTTATTTATTTTGGTTTATAGAAGTTTTTATATAAAATCAACGTGTTAGCTATTTATGATTTTGAAAAATGTTTCTCTTGTATTAAGAAGTTCTTTTTTCAAATATATATATTAGAAAAAACAATCAACAAACCGTATTCAGTTTTGAAGTTATTGTTGTAATCTCCATGTGAGTTTGTGTGTATTTTTGACTAAAATGCAAACATGTGTTATTTAATAATCATGTTTAGTAAGTAACCATTGTTTTCTTTACTTTTTTTAGGATGGGTTCGGCACGGGGTATGAATACTTCTATCTTACATTTTGAATAGAAAGTTTCGTTTGATACTATAAGCTATTAGGATTTAGCTTAAACAAAACGATGTCATCCATTACAAACTACTTTTTATGAACACGGACTTAGAAAATATGTATAAATATTTTGCACAAAAACATTTACATTTAGTTGTTGTACACGTTCTTCAAATCCATATTAAAAATAAATAAATTTGGATCCATATTAGAATTCAATTGTTGATCCATATTTCTTAAAGATGCACTTTACATATTTTTATAAATCAGAAGTAATGTGTTTTTCTAGTATGAAATTTGTTTCTTAAGTTAGCAAAATTATTAACTTTGTGTTAGATTTTTTGCTTCTAAAATTTTAAAATTATTATTTGTATTAGATAAAGAAAGACGCTTACATTACACATAAATAATAAAAGGTTATACCGTTCATATATATATATATATATATATATATATATATATATATATATATATATATATATATATATATATATATATATATATATATATATATATATATATATATATATATATATATATATATATATATATATATATGGGAAAAGTGAATATACCCTTAAGGGTATATAAACTTAGGTACCCAAACCCACTATAATACAATGTTTGTTTGATATATTCATTATAATGTTCTTAAACTTCAACCACTAACTTGATTTACTTTCAACATTTCCAAAATTTCACCATTATCTTCCTCTTACATCGCATATTTTTGTCAAACACTATTAAGCTATATATATATTATAGTTAAAAGTGAAAAATATGTAAGAGGACAATAAATGTGAAATTTATAAAAAATTTCGAAGTAAATCAAGTTAGAAGTTGAATTCTAAGAACATTGAACAATTACAATGTATATATATATGACACAAAACGATGTAATATAGTGAGTTTGGGTACCTAAGCTTATATACCCTTAAGGGTATATATATATATATATATATATATATATATATATATATATATATATATATATATATATATATATATATACCATTCCATTTTCACGGTCAAATTTTTTCATTTTAATTATAGTAAAACTTCCCAATTATAAAACCATTTTAAGAAAAACCATACGTTCCCAACTAAAATTATTTAAAAAAACATAATAGTATTATAATGAACGTGAAATCCCCAATGTTGTTGATGAGTGTGTACAATTTTGCTTTCGTCTTCCCATAGCCACCAATGATACCTGAAATAATAAGTAACTGGATAAGCATAAAGGTTAGTGATTTTCCCCCAAAATACCTCATATGATAAACATACAAGCATGCATAATGGCCCACAACCTCCTGGTTGGAATACACGGGCTCAATCAGTCCTTGGAATGGAATGTCAACATGCAACGGGTCAAATCAGCCATGGACTGGAATGCCCAGGGTTTGTTGGCCTACCGCCTCAACCCATCCGCTCTTTCCGAGCCTTCGTGTCTTGGGCTTACAATCGGCCTGCACTGGTATCTTGGCATACAACTATATGTCGACATATAAACAATCAAGTATCAAGCAGGCACATAATACAAGAAATCATCAATCATACAAATCACTACTTCCTACTAGTCCTCGCACCATGCACTATCCTACTACCAACTAAACTCTATGAAGTGTGTAACCATAAGTAACTAGAGGTGAGATAGCCACTCAAACAGATGATCCTACTCTAGAGCCACAACCAAACAAGGAACAAGTAAGAAAGCCTAGATCAAGAGTTCTCAGGTTATCCTACATGACCACACATAGTCCCTAGGGCACTCCACTAGATGATAACCATCAAATATAGATAGCCATACAGATCTACAGATCACTACCGCATAGCAATATCCTATATACTAGGATACATATCTAACAAATCCCTACATCATGGCAACATACTAAATACCAAAAATCCAAGGAACATACAACCGTATATACTCAGAGGTAAGGTAGAGACCCGGACAGGAGATCCTACTCAGGAACCACAACCAAACAAGGAACATGTAAAAGAGCCTAGATCAAGAGTCATCAGTCTATCCTACATGAATATATACAATCGTTATGGAATCCTTCTACTAAAGATAACTAAAACTAGTGAGCCGACATTGGTGCCTTCGACCTATAGGTATAGTGAGGCGAAACTCACTTGCATCGAAAAACTCTAAACACTGCGATGTAATCCATTTTTCGGTACTAATTGCTCTCGTGAATCCACTAACACCAGAGCCAAATAGAATCTCAATCAATAGCCCAAAATCCTCTAGTTATCCCAAAGTCAAACTTGGTCTAAAAGTTAACGGTCAATGAAAGTCAATAGACAAGCCCTCACAACATGACCTTCTATGGCTTCACGTCGTGCGCCACTACAGGACAAAATTGCCTGGTCTATCAATCCTCACGAGGTGACATGCATCTCCTTCATGTCGTGAGATCCGTCTGAGTGCCATTTTGATCCAAAACATCTTAATCTGTTAATCCACTAATCCATATTTTCCATGAGACTTCCTAACACTTATATGATCATAAAAATCGATGCTTTAAGGTATTGTATGTCCAATAGAAGACTTGAGATCAAGCTAGGTCATCTATGAAGAAAAATGGAGATAATTTCCCTAACAGGGACTTAAACATCCTCCAAACTTCAAATCCATGACATATATGTACCAAGGGACCCCTTGGACCCATAAAGTTGCCAACTTTATGGAGTCCCAATACTCTAACTCTTAAACCATGGCTAAACACGCATAAAACCTTAGATTCAACAAGGAAACATAAAGTTTGGATCTTGGTTACTCACAATGGTCCAGAAGTGTAGCTAAAGGTTGCAAATGTAACTTCCAAGCTGAAACTATGCTTCAATGGAGTTCTCTTCTTCTTTAAACCACCAAAACTCCACTAAAAGATCAATAATCACAATAAGAGGATAGGATTAGCGTTTTTCTGAGTTTAGGGACAAAGGGGGCTGCTTAGGAACCCTAAAATGAGGTTTATGGGATTTAAATACGAAGGAATTCCTAAAAGATCATGGGTTTGGGTTGTAATGCATCTTACGTCGTGAGCTTCTTACTGTTCACATCGTGAGCTCAACATAATTCAACTTATTCATTTAATTACTCCTTACGTCGTGATCCTTCTATGGTTCACGTTGTGAGTCTTGGTTTTACCTAAAAGCAATGTATTTGACTCCCAGAAGCCTTAAATCGACCCAATCTGGAATCCGGGTGTTATAATTCTCCCTCACTTAAATTCAGTTTCTTCCTCGAAATCACCTCTCACTACAATTGTACAATTTACACTTTGAGGGTCCTTCTGACCCGACTCTTCAAACATATTTTGGATCGCTTGAAAGCCAAGACCCACATTGATAACATCCAAGACCTAAAATCAGACTCATAAATTAATTTTTAGTAGAGACTCCAACAGTCTGAGGCACACTACTGCAACACCTTATTACGATCTATTACCACCCGACACCTCCATAGAACTTAAAAGAAATAGACTAATGAAAAGTAATTCCCCATAACTCCTCAATAGAAGAATTCACCTTTCAGTCCACGACCTTCATGTCCTGAAATCGTGAACCACCATCAGGCAACTGATCCACCCCATTGACACTCATGCTACCCAAGATTTCTAACATAACTCGACCATGGTCTCCCGACCATGCTTCGTTCATCAATACCCGAAATAGAAATTTAATCCCACATCAAAGCTACCTACCTCATACACTGATGCATCAGTGAGAAATCCTTACAAAACCCAGCATACAAGGCTAAACCATCCTTTCTATCAATTATACTGATCGAAATCTATATATTTGATCGGTCCTAAATCTATTCACCCACTGTCGCTATACTAACCCCGCATGAAAATACCCTACACATGATGCCACCACTAAAACTAATATGACTTGATGAGAAATCCAACAACTGACGATCATCTTAACGCGAAACTCAAAGATTTAGCAGTTACATGGAAGTCTTGAACTCAGAGAAATTCAATTAAGAACCAAAACTTGAGACAAGGTCTTCCTGCTACGAGTTTCCACTCTCCCCCACTTGAGATATGCTAGAGTCTGACAACTTCACAATCCTTCGATACCTAGACTAACTTGAACTTTACCACTTGATCCAAACTACTGATACCCATATACATAGGAGAATCTTAACCCACACAACATTCATAGATTCCAATAC